CATGTTGGTCAGGCTGGTCTCAAACTCCCGACCTCAGGTGATCCACCCACCTTGGCCTCCAAAAGTGCTAGAATTACAGGCGTAAGCCACCACGCCTGGGCTTTTTTTTTTTTTTTTGAGACAGGGTTTTGCTCTTGTCACCCAGGCTGGAGTGCAATGGTGTGATCTCGGCTCACTGCTACCTCTGCCTCCTGCGTTCAAGTGATTCTCCTGCCTCAGCCTCCCGCGTAGCTGGGATTATAGTTGGCCACCACAACGCCTGGCTGAATTTTTGTATTTTTAGTAGAGATGGGGTTTCACCATGTTGGCTAGGCTGGTCTTGAACTCCTGACCTCAGGTGATCCACCTGCCTCAGTCTCCCAAAGTGGTGGGATTACAGGCATGAGCCACCAGGCCTGCCTTCTCTGAGCTCTTTGTATCGAGGTACGCATGGTCTTATCATGAATGATCTGAGTAGCTGTGAAGGGGAGCGAGCCCATGACGCAGTGGGCAGCTGAGAGGCACAGGTAGAAATGAACTGTGAGAGAGTCAGTGCCAGGTCACTTTTGGGATTTTTAGTGCATGTCAGGGGGCCTCTGATTTTTTTTTTTAGCTCCTCCCCATGGCTCCATTTGCCCTCACCACAGCAAGCTGAGCAGCCTAAGTTTGCAGTAACACCTGGACCTGGGGCTCCCAAAGCAAGGGCCTTTGCCAGATGTTCTACTTCTCTGCTCTTTCCAGACATGTTGTCAAAACCAGGGATTTTCCTCTCCCCAACAGGCAGTGCAATTCCATCAGGTGCCCCCTGCGTTGATCTAGCATCCCAAGGAGTTAGTGACCTCTGATTGAGTTGCTTCCTTTGGAAGCCTCCTGTGCCAACTTTGCCCAGCCCCCGCCTTCAGTGGCCACTGCAGGACTGCCTAGCCAGAAACCAGGTCTCCCCAAGCAGGACCTCTTGCTCCCATCAACTGCAAAGTGACTGCCTTCCAGGGCCACCTGCCTCATGACTGGCTCTCCTCAGGTCACAGGAAGCTGGGAGCGGAACCCTGAAAGGACTTGAGTTCTTTCCTTAGATGCTGAGCATGCAGCAGGCAGAGGGAGAATGAGAGGAGACAAGGACCTGGCTTCCCGTCTACAGTTTGTTCAGACAAGGCCATGACTAGAGTGGGATCTGCTAAATGGGTACAGCAGAACATTGGAAGAAGCACCTTTGAGCCAGTACTGCTGGGGTCTCTGGATTAGAGCCAGGAGCCCTGGTGAGGCCTGTGGGTGGGGCTTCACTTGTGACCCTGAGAAGCCAACTCCACATCTTCCCTCTCACTCCTGAGCCCTGGGTGGTTCAGGGAGGCCACAGCCTTTCTGTGCCCTGACCTATCCCAAAGTCACCTCTATTCACAAGGTCGTGACCTTAGGTAAGTTCCTCTAGTTTTGTGAACATCATTTTCCCACCCAGAATAATGTCCTTATTGCAATATGTTTGTTCCATTCCCTGCTGGCTTTGTGGCCACAAATGGAGGGACAGCTAGGTTTCTTGAACACAGAGCCTGAGAGGCCTTGTCTGCAGCTGCTGGAAGCAGCCAGGAGACCCCAAAAGTGGGCTGGAGACTTCAACAAGGATCGGGAACAGGGCTGCGCTGAGAGGCCCAGGGGCTAGGTCAGCAGCGCTGCTAGGCGGATTTGGAGGGGAGCTGGGGAGAGGCGAGGCAGCCAGCTTTGCAGGATTCCCACGGCACAGAGCCAGTGCTCAGGGGTTCCCTTCTCAGCGTTCCTCTCACCTGCTGTGATTCTCTCGCACCTGGCATGGATCCGAGCTCCTTTCCTTATGGCTGAGACCCAAACTGCCTACAAGTGGCCTCTTCTCCCTGTTCTTGCCTGGAAGGGTAGCATGGGGCCTTAGGCTGTCAGCACTACCCGGGACCCTGGCATTCACTTTGTCCATAATGTACATATGGATGTAGGCAACTGCCCTCAGGGCTGTCTGGGGGCAGGACCAAGCCCAGCAGCCACACCTCCTGACACAGCCAGGTTCTCCCCCAACGTCGGAGCTGACAGGACTGTTCATGGTTCACTGAGTGGACCCAGCAATGCCTCATTGATAATCCACAGTTGAGAGAAGAGGGGCGGTCAGAGACCGGCCAGCCCTCCCTTCTAACTGGGAGAGGCCTCTGCAGGCACTGACAGGCTCCAAAGAGCGCTGTGGGAGCAGTCAGCATCCATAGTCCCCTGGGATCTTCCCTGGGCTGTTTTCTCTGACGTTTCACCTGAAACTAACTGTACATAGCTGGGCTAGGAACCTTCTAAATCTGATACTTCCAGCATGTGGCTTAGGGAAAAATCACTTGACTCCTTGTTTACCTTCTGGCTAAGAAGTGAAAACTCCGGGTTAATCTAGTCCTCCAGGCCCTGGAGTCCCACAGAGTGATGCTGTCTGTACAACTAGAGGGCAGAGCCCTTGGTCATGTCCACCCTTTGATTAAGTGGGCATCTCCTGTGCTGCTAGCTTTGTCCCCTCTGGGACTTGGGGTGGGGTTGGGACAAAGCCTGGTGCTGGGACAAAGCCTGGTGCCCGTGCGATTCATCTGCACATTATTTCTCCTCTCTGCCATTTTAGGGTCGCACTGCGGCAGCCTGGCGCTCGACATGTGAAAGGGAACCTGTCAGGATTACTGCGAGCTAACAGCAGGACAGGCTGGCCCCGGGGAGCGGGGACGGGCAGAGCAGCTGCTGAACCTGGGCCAGCAGTACCAGGAAGGAGACCTGGGCCCTGATGGGGAGCTCAGCACACGCTCGCCTGACCCAGATGGTATTGGACACAGTGCCCCGCTGAACGGCAGCTGTTCCCAACGCCAGAGGACCCCACAGCCACAGTAGGAGCTTTGCGACCCCTATGCAACTGCAGCTGGGGCTGAGACCACGAGGAGAAGGCCCCAGCACCTCATATGGGAAGCAGTAGGGCAGGACCTACCACGAAAAGGACCTCGATCTCTGCAGCGGAGTTTTCCAGCACTCACAGCCTTCCCGTTTTTCTCCTCTCAGGCCTGGGGTTTGGCTTCCCTCCTCTGGCAGAGGTTTTGGGCCAGGAGGACCAGCCCAGCCGAGGTAGGACACGTGCATGGAACCCAGGTCTCCTGAAGCCCATGTGCTCTCTGTTGTGGTTGGAGTTCTAGGGCTTCCCCGCTGCCGGGGACGAGGGGCCGCCTCATTGTCTGCTCATGAACCACAAGGACCCCGACTGCTCCAGACTGGATTATTTCAAGCCGCCAAAGAGGGGGACCCCTAGAGCTGGCAGCCAGCAATCCCAAGGGACTAGAGGGCTGCGATGGACTGACCTCCCCCTCACCAGGGTGGCGGGAGAGGCAGAGCCTCTGTGGCCCAGCTAGTGACAGACCCGATGAAGCCCTAAGCCGGGGCCCCACCTGACTCAGGGACGGGACAGCCACTCCTGCCAACGTGCGTTCTCCCCACATTGAGGGAGAGCGTGGCAAGGGACCCCTGCCACTGTCCCCTGCTACAGCACGTGCCCCTATGCCCTTTGCATGTGGTGCCAGAATAGACAGGCTACACTGTGTCTGGCCCCTCAGTGGGCTGGGAAAGGAGTGGCCACGGTGACCACCACCCACCTGCTGGCACCATGAAGTGCTCCCTGCGGGTGTGGTTCCTCTCTGTGGCCTTCTTGCTGGTATTCATCATGTCCCTACTCTTCACCTACTCGCACCACAGCATGGCCACACTGCCCTACCTGGACTCGGGGGCCCTGGGTGGGACGCACCGGGTGAAGCTGGTGCCCGGCTATGCCGGCCTGCAGCGCCTTAGCAAGGAGGGGCTCTCGGGCAAGAGCTGCACCTGTCGCCGCTGCATGGGTGACACTGGCGCCTCCGACTGGTTTGACAGCCACTTTGATGGCAACATTTCCCCCGTCTGGACCCGAGAGAACATGGATCTTCCACCGGATGTCCAGAGGTGGTGGATGGTAAGAGTTGCTGCCCCCTTCCAGGGATCTGTCCCCGGTTTTAAAGCCACTCAGGGCCCCCTCTTGGATTTCTGGCCCCCAGAGTCTTGACAAAGTGTAATGCCTGTTTGACCAAGCCATTTATAGGATCACAGATGACTGAAGGGCAGAGCGAGCATCGACCTGATGGAGTGGACTAGTATTTTCCAGTGCCTGTAGGACCTGAGCATAGGCCAGAAATGCCTCCTGGACCAGGCAGGCAGCACGGACACAGGGAGCAGGTGGGAGTGAGGAGTACAGCCATGGGGGGCCTGCCCCAGAGGAAGGAGGCAGCCACCCCTTGGCCCCAGCAGTTGTTGCTGCACAAGGCTGGATCTGGGTTTTTTTTTTAAGCAAACCCAGAAATCCAGATTTTAAAACTAAGTATCCTAATTTATGAACATTGACTCACAATAATTGTTTTCTATTTGTTTGTTTGTTTGTTTTTTGAGATGGAGTCTCATTCTGTCACCCAGGCTGGAGTGCAGTGGTGCCGTGATGGCTCACTGTAACTTCTGCCTGCAGGTTCAAGTGATTCTCCTGCCTCAGCCTCCCTAGTAGCTGGAATTACAGGCGTGCGCCACCACCCTCAGCTCATTTTTTTGTATTTTTAGTAGAGACGAGGTTTCACCGTGTTGGCCAGGCTGGTCTCAAACTCCTGACCTCAGATGATCCTCCCGCCTCAGCCTTCCAAAGTGCTGGGATTACAGGTGTGAGCCACTATGCCCAGCTGAAATAATTGTAAATACCATTAAAACAGAGCTTCTTGCTTGGTTCTTTACAATTGCTGGAAGACTTTTTACTGGGCTGGGATAAGAAAGCCTTGTAGGGAAGGCTGGGCGCGGTGGCTCATGCCTGTAATCCCAGCACTTTGGGAGCCCAAGCTGGGCGGGTTACGAGGTCAGGAGTTTGAGACCAGCCTGATCAACATGTTGAAACCCCGTCTACTAAAAATTAAAAAAAAAAATTAGCCAGGCATGGTGGCAGGCGCCTGTAATCCCAGCGACTCAGGAGGCTGAGGCAGGAGAATCACTTGAACCTGGGAGGCAGAGGTTGCAGTGAGCCAAGATCACGCCACTGCACTCCAGCCTGGGCAACAACGTGAGACTCTGTCTCAAAAAAAAGAAAAGAAAAGAAAGGTGTGTAGGGAAGACTTAATCTATTTTATGAAATAAAGTGTTGCCTGATTCTAGAGTTAAAAAAAACAAGCAATGTAAAGAACCGTCAGGGGCTAAGGGAGTTGAAGGGGTGGGGCTGGGGGGTTCTCCCTGTCTTTCCAGTCATCACTTTTCTGCTACTTGTAATTCCTTCTGCCTCGCCCCAAGGCTCTGGAGTCACTCCCCAGGCTCTGCAGGCCATCTGGTTGCCACACATGTCATGGGTGGAACCATGTCAGCACTGAGCCCCTGCAGGCTCCCAAGCTGTGAGGGATGAGCTCATGTGATCAGGCTTATCAGAACGATGCCACAGAACATGCCTTCCAGCCCAGACTATCAGAGTGCCCAAGGACCGGGGTCTGCAGAGCTAGGGCCACTAGGAGTCCCGTGGGCTGTTACTGTGACAGCTTTTTTTGATACAGGTTCTCACTGTCTTTGCAGTGGCACAGTCTTGGTTCACTGCATCCTTGACCCCCCCCCAGGCTCAAGCGATCCTCCTACCTCAGCTTCAGAGTAGCTGGGACTACAGGCGCGCACCACCACACCTGGCTAATTTTTATATAGGAATTCTTGTCTCAATCTCTCCCTACAGATCAATCTCCCATCTCCCCTGAGCAGGCCCTGCTCACCCACAAACCCATTGAGTTACGGCTCCATCCACAAAATGTTTTATTTTATTTTTATGTGGGTTTTTTTTTTTTTTTTTAGTAAAAATAATTCCAACACTTTTGAGTAAAAGTAATTTACTTTTGAGTAAAAGTAATCCCACACCTTGGGAGGCCAAAGCAGGTGGATCACCTGAGTTCGGGAGTTCGAGACCAGCCTGACCAATATGAAAAAACCCCATGTCTACTAAAAATACAAAATTAGCTGGGCATGGTGGCATGTGCCTGTAATTCCAGCTAGTCAGGAGGCCGAGGCAGGAGAATCGCTTGAATCCAGGATGCGGAGGTTGCAGTGAGCCAAGATTGTGCCATTGCACTCCAGCCTGGGTAATAAGAGTGAAACTCTATCTCAAAAAAAAAAAAAAAAAAATCAGGATTTCATTTTTCTTATTTCATATGAAATCCTTACTTTCTTTTTTTTTTTTTTTTTTTTTTGGGACGGAGTCTCGCTCTGTCGCCCAGGCTGGAGAAAATCCTTACTTTCATTGTCTCTTGAAAAATGGGAAACTTTGGCCCTTCTGGGCTCATGATCCCACGTGGCAACAGTTGGCTGAAGTTGCCCTTCTTTGCCGGGGCTCAGATCTGTTGGGTGTGGACCTTACCTACCATGTGACTCCTGTGTGGTACCTGCTGGGTCCCTAAGCATCTGATTGGTGCTGCCTCGTTTCATGGTCTTTGACCACCAGCTGGTTAGTACAGGTCTCGCTGGTAGGAGGGGACACCAGGACACCAGTTTTATTCCAGCCATTCTGGCTCTGAAAGAATTATCAGCCTCTCTGCCCTTCCCTGGGTGGGGGCTCAGGGAGTGGCTGGACTGTTGCCCTAGACGCGGCTTCTGCAACCCCAGTCCTCAGCCTGAGTGCTGAGGGCGCCCCCTGTAGGCTGACCAGGAAGGAGCCCCTAAAGGAGGCTGCTCTGTTCCGTGGCCCAGGCCTGCAGGTTCCCAGAGAATGTGTGAAAGGCACCTTGATCCAGAGCCCCTTCTAGTGCATCAGAGCCACCCGTGACTAGCAGGGCACCCAATCTCCGGACGTTGAGACTCACTCACAACTGGGGACTTCGCTGTCGTTGAGAGAGGGAGAGACCCTCACTGCCCAGAGGAAAGAATCCCTGTTCCCTGGCAGAGCCCTGGATAAAGAGGCCTGTGCCCAGGCACTGGAGAGTGAGAGCAGAAGGGGGGGGATGGGGCCCCTCCTTCTTCACACACCTCTCCCCTTCCTCATTTTCCGTCTTCCTCTCCCTTCCATAGATGCTGCAGCCCCAGTTCAAATCACACAACACCAACGAGGTGCTGGAGAAGCTGTTCCAAATAGTGCCCGGCGAGAACCCCTACCGCTTCCGGGACCCCCACCAGTGCCGGCGCTGTGCTGTGGTGGGGAACTCCGGCAACCTGCGGGGCTCTGGCTATGGGCAGGACGTGGACAGACACAACTTCATCATGAGGTGAGCCCCTGCGGAGCCCAAGGGTGGGTCCAGGACGGGCCTCCGGGAGGGGGACTGCTCTCCTCTGCTATGTCTGGCAGAGTGCATGCTGCCAGTTACCAATGTGCTCTGGGGCCCTGCCTCCCAGCGTCTTTCATAGCAGGCTTGGAGCTCTCTCCTTTGCCTGTTTGGGGTGGATGGGGAGCCAGAATCCCAAATCTAAGGGGATTTGAGGCCTGCACTCTGTTTTTGCTTGAGGCCTGCACTCTGTTTCCAATGCTCTGAATTCCTCTGGAAACAGCTGACATGAGATTCCTGGCTGACGTTTGGTGAAAAATCCCACCAGAGGCCGGGCACGGTGGCTCATCCCTGTAATTCCAGTGCTTTGAGAGGCTGAGGTGGGAGGATCGCTTGAGCCCCAGGAGTTAGAGACCAGCCTAGGTAACATGGCGAAACCCTGTGTCTGCAAAAAATTTTTAAAGATTAGCTGGGCATTGTGGTGTGTGTCTGTATTCCCATCTACTGGGGTGGCTGAGGCAGGAGGATTGCTTGAACCCAGGAGTTCGAGGCTACAGTGAGCTATGATTGTACCAGTTCACTCCAGCCTGGGCAATAGACTGAGACACTGTCTCAAAAACAAAAATTCCCATCAGAAGCCGGCCCTGTCCTCCTCATCCCCTCAGCAGCTGAGCGAGTGAGGGCCCCAAGCCCAGCTAGCATCGTGCTTCTCAGCAGCAGGTGATTCTCTCTGGCAGATGCACGGAATGCAGATGTCGTGGGTGCTAAAAGGAGCTGTTTGGTATTTACTCTGGGGCTCCTTCATTCCCAAGACGTCTATTCCCCGCCATGAGGAGGGGAGAAGAGTTGGGAGGGCTTTCAGTCCTGACCGAGACTCTGCAGCGAAGGCCTGGGCATGAACAGGGAACGGGGGCAGGCTCGCAACCTGAACATGGGCTGCTTGCTCTGCTCCAGAGCCTGTGTTTTCTGATGTCCCCCCTTGACTTGGCTGGGGACAAGAAATGCCACAGTGGGGATCCTTCTACCCAACTCCTTGATGGAGGAAGAGCCTGAAGAACCGAGATCCTGCCAATGCCCAGTTTTCACTCATCTCTTAGGCTGAGCACTGCAGAAAGACCAGGTTTCCCAGGAGGCAGAAGGAAGGGCTTTGTCTTAGAAACTGTTACTGTCTCCATAGCAACACAAAGGCAGCAATATGTCTCGGAGGCATTCAGCATTCCATGTAAGACCTTCCTCATGTTGGGAAATGGTGCAAGTGGGAGGGTGAACAGGATGGACTGGACCCTGTCCAGGACCCTGGAACCACCTGAGGATATCCATATCCTCCAACTGCTGATACCCCAATGGGAGAGAGATGGGATGGGAACTGGTGTTAGAGGGGCCTCTCCTCTTTCCAGACACCATGGCCAGGTTGGGAATTGAGGGATCTGTCACTTCCATGCAGCTCTGGGCACTTGGAAAGCCCAGGACAGTGCTCTCAGCTGCCTGAAGCACCTGCATCAGGTTTGAGCTTTCACTGGGCAGGCACCTACGTGATGGTCAGGAAGCTCCTGGGTGGAAGCCCTGCAGGCCCAAAAGGACTGGCTCTAAGTTTCCTGGCCGGTACTGTCAGGCGGGGCTGCAGAAAGAAATTTATAAGGCTGGGCGCGGCAGCTCACGCCTGTAATCCCAGCACTTTGGGAGGCCGAGGCAGGCAGATACCTAAGGTCAGGAGTTCAAGACCAGCCTGGCGAACATGGTGAAATCCCATCTGTACTAAAAATACAAAAATTAGCCGGGCATGGTGGTGCATAACTATAATCCCAGCTACTCAGGAGGCTGAGGCAGGAGAATCGTCTGAACCCAGGAGGCGGAGGTTGTAGTGAGCCAAGATCATGCCATTGCGCTCCAGCCTGGGCAACAAGGGAGAAACTGTCTCAAAAAAAAAAAAAAAAAAAATTTTATAGATGCTTCCTCCCGGGGGCCAGATAAGGAAGTGGGGTGGTATAGAGTGGACCCCAGAATCACTTTCTGGAAGGGGTGACCTGGGTAGTAATTGGCCATCTGCTGGTCTAAGGAACTGGCTGGCAGTGGATAAGCTGGGCTTGCTGGTGTGAGCCTGTAGTCCTAGCTACTCGGGAGGCTAAGGCAGGAGGATCATTTGAGCCCAAGAGTTTGAGGCTGTGGTGAGCTGTGATGGCACCACTGCACTCTAGCCTGGGCAACAGAGCAAGACCCTATCTCAAAAACAAAAACAACAGATGGCACTGGGGGTGACTCCAATTGTAGGCATATCCAAGTTTGGAACCAATGGTCCTGGAAGCAAGACCCACTGGAGGGCTGAACTGAGTTACAGCAAGATGATGGCCTGATCCACCTGTGCCCCGCCCACCTTGCTGCCATTCCCTCCTCCTCTTTGTCCTCTGAGCCCTGTGGACCGCTTCAAGTCCAGTTAAGCTGATCTTGCCTCAGTTGGCCTGCAGATCCATCCACAACTCCGAGAACAGTGCCCTCTAGACAGGAGGCGTGCCACAGATACATGCAGGAGTGAAGGAGACTAGGCAGCCAACAGCAGGTCCTAACCAGGGAGTACACACCCCACTTGTGCCCTGGTCTGAATACTTCTTTAGCTGCTGGAGGCAGCCAGGGACAGATAGATTTCTAGAATGCCGTGTTCCCGAGTCCCAGAGATGCAGCTCATCCTCCTTGTCCTGCTCTGGCCCCTTTCCAGGGCGTGGCTTCTCCAGGATGAATCAGAGCCTTGAAACAAAACCTCGTCCCTGTTAGAGTGCCATGTTCCTTCCCTTTCCTGTGGAGGCTGTGAAACATCTTTTGGGACCTCTTGCTCCCTTCATTCCCAGATATTTCGAAGCTGGTGACTGGCCAGCCACGGGGGAAGTGAGGGAGGGCCAGGCTCTGTAGCACGGCCAGCCTGGAGGCAGGGTGACCCTGGCTGACAGGTCCCATGGGGACTTCATGACAGCTCGGGCTGCCAAGTCGCTGTAGAAGGTGGGTCTTCAGAAGCCAGCCTGGGCTGGATGCAGCCCTGTGCTCTGCAGAATCTCTTGGCCTCACCATCTCTGGTGAGATGTTTGTTTCTTAGGTCCTCTCAAGTGTACACCTTGGCTGGGCGCGGTGGCTCACGCCTGTAATCCCACTACTTTGGGAGGCTGAGGCAAGAGGACTGATTGAGCCCAGGAGTTCAAAGCCAGCTTGGGCAACATGGCGAAACCCCATCTCTATTTAAAAAAAAAAAAGGGAGAAGAAAAAGAGCATACCTTGATCCTAGCTCCTGCCCCACCCAGGCCCCGGCCAGCCTGTGTCACCAGCCCAGTTCCTCCACCTCCTGCTTACCCCTGCCATACCCTGGGCAGCTGAGACACACTTCTGGCTCTGACATACCCTGTTAAGGCTTCCTCTCCAACTGCTCTGTTCCTCACAGGCCCCATGGTGCTTGGCAGGAGGCAGGTCCAGACTGCGTCAGTGTGACCGTAGGACCCCAATGCCTGTGTGGGGAGTTCAGCAGCCCACAAGCTGTTAAGAGTTATTCATGGGTGGGAAAGATACTTCTTGGCTCTTCTAGGAGACAGGATCTCTAAACCCTAAAGACTGGGCTCAAAGGGGCAGTTCACTGAAAGACATGAATTTGGGGGAGAGGCAGGAACTAGATCCCTATTCTGGAGACAGAGCGTGTTAGTTTCTCTGGAAGAAATTCTAGGTATCTGCTTGAAGCTAGCTAGAACGAAGTGGTTAGGAACACAGATGTCCTCTAGGTTTTGAGACCTCCAACCCCAAAGCACCCTCCAGACCCTCAAGGGAAAATGAGAGGTAGGGGGCACAGCGATGTGACCGGCAGGGCAAGGGGACAGCACAGCCCACTGTCCTCCCCAGTCCCGTCCTTGATGAAGATAGCGTGGCATCCCCTGCAACACAGCAAGTCCTCACCAAGGCCAGCTAGCTGCTGCCAGCCACTGTAAGGACAGGGAATGTTTGTGCTGGTTTTAAAGAACTGGCATAAAAAGCCGGGAGAGCCACCTAGGGACTGCGCTCCCTCCCTCCCTGGGTCCCTGTGCTCCTAGTGGAGGGCCAGGTTATGATCACCCTGCCTTGGTAGTCGTGATTCCACAAGGTAAACAGTCATAACAGAAAAAAAAGACCAACAGGTTTGTATTTAAACCTAGTTCACCTGTTACGTAAGATGCATACTAAAAAGGGGAGCTTTGGTTTTTACTTGTCTTGTATTTTGCATAAATTGAAAGGAAGTGGGGCCGGGCGCAGTGGCTCACGCCTGTAATTCCAGCACTTTGGGAGGCCGAGGCAGGCGGATCACGAGATCGAGACCATGGTGAAACCCTGTCTCTACTAAAAATACAAAAAATTAGCCCGGCGCGGT